TCCAGGACAGCCTCCAAAGCCACAACTGTCTTGAAAAAGCAAAAAACAAACAAAAAAACCAGAAGAAGATAGGTATTTTCATCTAAGTCAAATGCTGAAAAAAATGAGAGCCTCTTCAAGTTGAAATCAAGATGAACTGACTTTTCAATCTTTGGGATTCAATTCTCAGGAGATAAGACGAATCAATTCTTCCTTTTACAAAGCTCCTGGGAAGGATATGATGAACTGCACTGTTCTATGATTCTCTAAGCTCCTGCTGCCATTCTGCTTTAGGCCATTGGTTTCCCAGAGCTTTGCAGTCATCCTGAGTGCCAAGAGATTCCCCCAATATGCTCAAAGAATTTGGTATAGCAGGGTGTAACGGTATAAGCCTGTAACCCTGGACTTAGGAGGCAGAGACAGCGGGAGAAATGTTAGTTGCCGTCCAGTCTGACTTATAATAGTGAATCCTAGGTTCTGGACTACAGAATGAGGCTTTCTAAAAAAAACCCAAAAAGGACAGGGTGGCCCCTGTGGTAGCAGGCAGGGGACATGGCAGTGGTGGGGGTGGTACATGCCTATACCTTTATCACTCACAAGGCTGAGACACGAGAATTGTGAGTTCAGGAATACAGAACAAGATCTTGCCTCATAAAAACAAAAAGCAAAACAAAGAAAAGGGCTGGAGAGCTGGCTCAGTCGTCAAGAGCACTTGCTGCTCTTGCATAGTTCTGTTTCCAGGACCCACACGGTTGCTCCCACCATCCATTGCAACTCTAGTTCCAGGAGATTCACGCCCCTTTCTGACCTCCATGGGCACCAGGCACAAATGCGGTACACTTAAATACATTCAGGCAAAATATTCAGAGGCGCACACAAAATATAAAAATAAGTGCATTTAAAAAGAAATAAAGACAGTCAGATCTTAGTCTAGAGAGAGCACTTTGGTAGGAGGGGTGTGTGTGACCAGAAGAAGAATGTCCCCTGGAAATTCTATCAAGATAAGGTTTCCTTGTCCTTGAGCAATCTTGGTCCATGATGATGGTCCCCCTCCCTTGGTGTCTAGAGTCTTCAACTCTATCTCAGCACAGTCCCCGGATTGGGTCTCCTTTCTCCAGAACCAGCAAACCATCCCCCATCCTCTTTCCCCACATCCTCTGGGAAGCAGTGAGAGCACTGTCTGATAAGCCTATCTCCTCTGAGAAGAAGGTTTGCATATCTCAGGACCCATCCTTGGAATATTCAGTTGTAGAATACACCAACCCACCTGCCTCCATTCCAGCACAATGGTGAGTTTCTGGGTATTGATGCTTTGTGGCAAAAGTTCTTCCCTCGGGCTACCTTAGAAAAGACTTCCACCAGAAGAAAGCAGATCGGAAAAGGCCTTATCTTCGTGGACTTCTCTATGGCACGGGATAAACTACAGACTTGCATTCAGTAACTTCCCCATCCGGGAGTCTACAGTTTACAGGCTGAGGACTTGTGCGGGCTTGTCTTTCTTGTAATGATTCCCTAGACTATTTGGGACAGCACCTATTGACATAGCGTTGACATTGTGCTAGGTGATTTAAAGTGTACAGGAAAGGGCAGACTTCTCTGTAATCCCAACACTTGGGAGACACAGGTGGAAAAACTGGGACAAATTGAAGGCCAGCCTAGGCTATCTTGCAAGTTCTAGTTCACTCAGGGCTATATAGGTGAGGTCTTACCTAAAAAGCAAACAAAAGCCAAATATACAATAGCAACAGCATCTTTCAATAAAATATATGGGAGGTTGGTGCCGGTTAGATGCCTCCAAGGGTAAAGGCACATACCAAGACTGAAGACTTGAGTTCTAGCCCTAGAACACACTCTGAGGAAGGAGAGAAACTATTTGAGTTGTCCTCATATAAATTATAAGAAAATAAATGCTCCCTCCCCAAATAATATAAATAAAATGTAAAACTACACAGGATATGTATACACTACATGCAAACATGTGCTCCCACTCTGACTCAGTACTTTTTTTTTTTTTTTTGGTGTTTTGAGACAGGGTTTCTCTGTGGCTTTGGAGGCTGTCCTGGAACTCACTTTGTAGACCAGGCTGGCCTCGAACTCACAGAGATCCGCCTGCCTCTGCCTCCCGAGTGCTGGGATTAAAGGCGTGCGCCACCAAGGCCCGGCTCCTGACTCAGTACTTGTCCAACCACATTTGAGATCCCTGTCAAGTACAATCCCACTTCAGAGCCTTGGCATGTTTGTTCTGTCTCCCTGGCCTCTTCTCCCAGAAGGCTCTATGACTCAGGTCCTCACTTTCTTCATCAATCTCTCACCTTTTGAGGAGAGAGAGGGAGTTTTTGGTTTGTTTGGTATTATTGCTGGTTTGTTTTCTTGAAACAGAGCGGTGCTATGCAGCCTTAGCTAGCCTCAAGCCCTTCCCCACTATATTGCAGCACCAGGCTCTAATGTCTCAATCAGGTTTCTCCTACTGCCCTAGTTTATAGTGCACCCCGATTCTCACATTTTCTAATCTGTTTTCCTCTGTATCATATGCCACTGTATAGCTAGCATACAAATAATCCTTTACTTTGTTTATTTTATGTGTCTCATTGTGCTTTATTGAATGAGGCTCCATGAGGGCAAAGATCATGTCTGCTCACTCTGTGGTCTCCAGTGCTCAGAACAAAGCCCAGCTACTCAGCACTTAGCAGACCATAGCCAGGCTCCATACAGGGACGCGTAAAATGAACACCTTTCATTCCATGTCAGGACTGATACTCACTGGAGTGGGGTGGGGGTCAGACCATGTCACTTGTGAATCATTTCTTCATCCTTTCACTAGCTGGATGACCCTGAGCAGGAGGACACCCTCATCTCAGGATCTTAAGCTGTCACCATTGAAGGAGGAATGACGATGTGTGCTTGTATAGCTGAGACATGGCACAAATGTTCTATCCAACCTATCCAAGCTAGCTAAGCCAACCCTGGTAGTGCAGACCCACCGTCTGTCACTGCAGCTCCTTCAGAGGCCGAGGCAGTGGGATCGCAAGGTCTGCCTGGGATAAGAGCAAGCTCAAAAGAAAACCTGAATAACTTAGTGATCTCAGTCTCAAAATAAAAAGTGAGGAGGGCTGGGCATGGAGCTCAGCTGTTGGGAGTGTTTGCCTAGCACAGATGAAGTCCTAGGTTCGATTCCCACTACCACATAAACCAGGTGTGATGGTACATATATATCTGCAATCCCAGCGCTTGGGAGACAGGGGCAGGAGGGTGAGAAGTTCAAAGTCATCCTTGACTACATAGAGTGTTCTGGACCAGCCTGGGCCACATGCTACATGGAATAGTGAAGAAGGGAAAAAATGGAAGGTCTAGACCCAGAATGTTGGTGTAACATCATAAACCCAGAACTTCGAGGCCAACCAGGGCAACAAAGGAAAACTCTGTCTCAAAAACCACCTAAGTAAGTGCTAGCTGTGTTACCATGCTTATTGCTGCTGCTTTTATTATCCTGAAGTGTCCTGATACCCAGGGTAAGAACTTTGCAGCCCCTTCAGCAGGAAGAAAAAGCTTTTCATCATCAGCTAACAACGGGAAGAGTGAGTGCTGAGCTCACTGAACCCATCCGTTCTCCAGCCAGGCACGGCTGCTCACATTCGTAATCCCAGCACTTCGGAGGCTGAGGCAGGAGGATTTCTTGGACTTTGTAGCTGGCCGAGGCTACACAGTGGATTCCAGGCCAGCTTGGGCTAACGAATGAGTCCCTGTCTCAAGCAAACAAACAGAGTCAAGGGTATGATTGCGCACTTGAAGTCCCAGTATTTAGAAGTAGAGACTAGAAAGCCAGGAGTTAAAAGTCATCCTGAGCTATCTAGTAAGCCTGAGGCCACCCTGGGTTACATGAAACCCTGTTTAAAAAAATAATAATAATATAAAATAAAGAAGCTTCTCGTTGTCACGATGGTGAAATGAGCCATCAATCAGTAAGTTCCTGAGAGGAACAATAAGAAGTAGGGCATGGAGACATGGATCTACAGTTCTAGTACTCAGGAGGCTGAGGCAGGAAGATTATCAGCCTGAGCTGCAGAGGCACCCTGTGTCAAAGATACACACACAGAGGGATGGCCATAGCTGAAAGCAGAAAATTGTTTTCTTTCACTCCTGCTTTCTTTCTCCTTATTTTGTTACTCACATTTATAAAATAACATAGTGTGTGTGTGTGTGTGTGTGTGTGTGTGTGTATATACAAGAGTCAATTCTCTCCTTCTTGGGGCTTGAACTCAGGTTGTCAGGCTTTGTAACAACCACCTTAACCCACTGACCCATTTCATATACCCCAGTTTTGTGGTAGTTTGTTAATTTGTTTTAAATAGAGTATCCTACAGCCTAGTATGACTTCATACTCACCAGATAGACAAAGATGAGTCCTTGAACTCCTGATCCACTGCCCCAAACTCCCAAGTGTTAGGATTACAGACATACACCAACATAACCCAGCATGGAGACCGTCTTCTTTTTCTTTTCTGTTCTTTTCTCTTTTTGTTGTTTTTGTTTTTTGTGTGTTTGTTGAGACAGGGCTTCTCTGTGTAGCTTTGGAGCCAGTCCTGGAACTCACTCCATAGACCAGGCTGGTCTCAAACTCTCAGAGACCCACCTCTGCCTCCCCAGTGCTGGAATTAAAGGCGTGCACCACTACTGCCTGGCTGAAAACTGTTTCCTAACCACTGAGCATTATAAAATCACCTCTCTGCTTTGATGAACTTTTCTTCTTTCAGTGAGGTTTCTCAAGAACACAACACCAGACACTTGACTTGAAAGATATACTTTAGGTGGCATGTCAATCAACATCCATGTCCACGTTTATTTAATTTGGTGTATATGCATGCAGATGAGTCTATGCTATGCCATGGTTCTGGCACAGAAATCAGAGGACAACTCTCAGGATTCGGCTCTCTCCTGCACCTTGTGCAGTTCAGGGTCCTTAGCCGTCTCAAAAGCGCCTCGAGGTCCCCTCACCCTACTTTGCCTCTTTGATTTTTTTCCTTACATGTTTCTGATCTGGGAACTAAGATGGACACTAAAGGCCCCTGCCAGAGAGTCAAGACCAGCAGATGCTCTTTGAGAAAGCTAGCACACCCGAACAAGCACCGTGTCAGGGTGGGACTCCGGTCTCAGTGGCCAAGCATCACTTTTTTAGAAGATAATCCAGTATGCTTTCTTTTTGATGCTGTGTGCTGGAAGGATAAATGATAGAGCCGAGTGCAAAACATCCTTAAATGCTGATTTAGTTAGATGGCAATGGATCGATCAGGCAGGCAGGAAGGCAGGCAGGCAGACAGCAAGTTTGTAGGTAGCAGGGACGCTGTAACTAGGGTACAGAGAGTTGAGTACGATGACTCTGGAGACTTGCAGAATGCCGTGTCTCACCAGTTCAAAGGACTTCTGCTGTTAGAAAGCTAATCCCAGGGCTGGAGAGATGGGCAAGGCCTAAAAGTGCTTGCTATTCTTTTTTTTTTTTTTTTTTTTTTTTTTTGGTTTTTCGAGACAGGGTTTCTCTGTATTGTTTTGGAGGCTGTCCTGGAACTCACTCTGTAGACCAGGCCGGCCTCGAACTCACAGAGATCCGCCTGCCTCTGCCTCCCGAGTGCTGGGATTAAAGGCGTGCGCCACCAACACCCGGCTAGGGCTTGCTATTCTTGCAGAGTTCCTGGGTTCCCTTTCCAACACTGCTCACAAGCACCCAAGACGCCAGTTTCAGGGGATCAAATACCCCACCACCACCATGCACTGTATCTCCTACGTGGTACACAGATACACATGCAGGCAAAACATCCATAAAATAAAATAAAACTGAAATCACACACACAAATAATTGAGCCAGATGGTGGTAGCACACTCCTTTAATCCCAGCACTCAGGAGGCAGAAGCAAGTAAATCTCTGAGCTTGAGGCCAGCCTGATCTACAGAATGAGTTCCAGGACAGCCAGGGCTACACAGAGAAACCCTGGTCCCCAAAACCATAGCCAAACAAATAAATACATAAATAAAGTTAAAAAATAAAATGGAAAGAAAAGTAAAAGCATTAATTTTTATAGTTAAATATCCACCCAAGGTGTGTCTACAGGCCTGCTCCATTAGGGCCCAAGTGTAAAAGCTCACTCAGGACCCCCACTCCCCCACCCAGGAGACCCTCCATCACCTAGGGACATAGGTGAGATTTCAGAGCTATTGGCCTCAGCCGGCAATCCCCCAGAGATCACCCCAGTAATGCCCCTGGTTTATTAATTCCAAAATACTTGAGAGGGGTACTTTTCTCCTAACAGTTTCGTCATCTAATCATATGCTTCAAAACAAAACAAAACAAAAACCCTTACCGTGTTCTTCCCCCGAAACTAGCACTGTGCGGATCAGAGACACGAGAACAAAAGACACCCCCTCCCCGAAAGGAAATACACGAAGGATTATCCTTTTTCAAAGGTGCAATAATGAAATACTTTCCTTCCCCCAGACAGGCAATTTCATCAGGGTTCAAGCAAGGGGAACAAGACGCCATTGTCTTGACTCAATTGGCATAATATCTCCCCGTCCTCTGAATGATCACTCAGAGGGCTGCTCAACACCGTCTGCCTGCAGATGCAATCCCTTTAAACACTGAACCTTTCACCTGGCAAACACCCAAGTCCCTCACAAGGCTCCACAAGGAAGACTTCTTGCTTTGGCCTGGCACAGCCTCCTCTGTGGAGGATTGTCTCACAGGGCTTGGGGGCCCCTTTCTGGCCCCACTGTCTGTGTCCCTCCTGTCCACACAGCTTGGATACCAAACTAGCCAACAAGTCATGACAGCCCTTGGAAAACGGAAGACTAGAGGGAGTATGCATTCCTGCTGTTCCCTGAGACCTCACAGCCACAGCAAGGGGACCTGCTGGCAGGGGTCCACTGAAGGAGAAGGAAAACCCCCAACCGGCCTTTTTGTCCCTTGAACTAGAAGAAAGTGAAGAGTTGAGCAATTACCCAAGGAGTCCTGCTGGCCAGAGCATGCATGACCTGCTTGATCCACCTCTGCCATCCCTCTTCCTTATTGTTCTTGCAAGACACTGGCCAGCTGTCCCCCCAGCCAGCTAAGTTGGCTTGGCTCCATCAGGACTGCACCAGGGCAGGGCTGGGCAATGGTCATGGCTCTTATCTCTACCACCTTCTGGTTAAGAGAATGTAGAGGTGGGCTGTCCAGGGCAGCTCCTGCTGGTCCCTCTAGGAGGCTAATTTTCAGAAAAATCTAGAACAAAGAAAAGTGAAAGGGAGTGGCCTGGTGAGAAGTCCACATAGTAGCAGGAACAATGGGATGCCCAGACATTGGAGGGACAGACACCAGGGGACACTTGCACAGAGGTATGTCTTGTTCCCTTCTCGAATCATAGCAGGATGTGATGGTGAATACATTCCCACCTCACCTACCCCCAAATCATATTATTGAAGAAAACTTAGCTCGCCTTTGAATGCCAACCTAGTAAGTTAATAAGTTCCAAAGGTCAAGTCCAACAGCTATGAGGTCACCACTGTTCCTATCATTTTACCTCTTCACCCACCCACCCCACTCCACAAGAGAACGGACATCTCTAGGAGCTTCTTCTCCAGATCCAGACCTCCCCTAACCCCACTTACCTGCCATGGCTATGCTTCACCTGGCTCCTGTGTCTCCACAGCTCACTCCAGACTTACTAAAAAACACTGAGGAAGTCAAGCCTCCAGATCAGATTGCTACATCCCCAAACCATAGCCCTAAGGGCTTAGCAGCAGAAAGCAGCCGTCCATAGTGTGTTCTTGTGGTGTTTAGTTTGGAGCTAAATGGAAACAGATCTTCATTATGAGGCAGGCCCAGAGCCATCCAATGTTCCTTTAGCGAGTCAGGTTTGGGGAAAGGGATAGTGTGGGAAGAGAAGTGACTTCTCCTAACTCAGCCCTGAGAAAAGCATTCACACCCACACCAGGTGGCACACTGGGTGTAAGAGCAGAGAGGGAGCCACCGGGGCTCCAAAGCTTAGACCAGCATCCAAAAGTCACATAGGAGCCTTGTCTCTGAGGCCCAGATAAAGGTCTAATTTGCCCAGGATGCAAAATGGCTGGGTGAAAAAAGAACAACACAGATTTAAAGGCAGAAGAGTAAGAGTGACCTTCAAAGCAGCCCTCCAATTCCATTCGCCATTTTGACTTTTCGATTCTATCATTTTGTTTTGTTTGCTTTCCTTCTTTTAAATTTTTGGTCAAGGTTGGCCTGCGTCTCACTATGAATTACTGTGAAGCCCAGGCTGGCGTCATCCTGGCAGAGATCTTGCCTTATCCACCCAAATTCTGGGATTACCAGAGTGTGCTACCATTCCTGGCCCCGTTGTCCCTTGAAAGGTCATTTCATAGCCCTGTCTGTGAAAGATACTGAATGCTTTTCCAAAGCAACCCTGAAAAAATACAGCGCAGCTTTTGTATCCAAGTGCCCAGTCCAACTGCTGACCAATGATCTGACAACAGATCAGTACACAGCTACCGAGTCCCCGACCTCTGGTTCCCTGGGATCGTAGTATCCATTCCCAAGATGGTGAGACCAGGCTGCTCCTGCTGAGGAGCAAACATGTGAACCATTCTAGAAAACTGCTTATTTATTACTTATCAGGGCTGGGGACATCTTATGATCATGTCCCCAATTCTGAATCATTTACATGTGTGTACGTTTGTTTGTTTGTCCTTAGGGAGTGTCTTGCTTTGTAGGTCCGGCTGGCCTGAAATTGAAGGCAAACCTGAATCCGTTCCCCGAGTATTGGGATTACAGGCCCAAGCCACTACTCCTGGCTTGTATATACCTGTTTATTGCCACCGTCTATTATCAAGCAAACAAACAAAAAATCTGAGCTACCACTAGCAGCACCAGTGATAGCAACAGTGTCGGCTGAACATCCACTGTGTTTCATACTGACATGCTTCCACAAGTGCGGCATTCTACCCCACGAAAGGGTATTTCATGAACAAAATTGTGTAAGCTGCTGTATGAAATTGCTTCCAAGGCAGAAGGTGTGTGTAAAGCACATATTTTGATTTTACACTGGGGTTCCTTCCCAGAATATCTTACTACATATGGCAAGTCTTTTTTGAAAAATTCAAACTCCAGATCACTTCCGGCCCAATACGTTTTGGTTAAGGTTCGCTCATCCTGCGCTGACAGGACCTCATTTCACAGCCAGGTACCGCGCTCACGACACTAACCCAGCTTCCAGGAAGCTGAGACAGGCACATCACTGCATCTTTGAGGCCAGCCTGGTGAATTCACACAGTGAATTAATTCAAAGCCAGATTGTGCCGGGTTAAAGAGAAACTACTTCTTCTTTTTTTTCTTTTTGGTTTCACGAGACAGGGTTTCTCTGTATTGTTTTGGAGGCTGTCGGTCCAGCCTGGCCTCAAGCTCAGAGATCCGCCTGCCTCTGCCTCCCGAGTGTTGGGATTAAAGGTGTGCGCCACCACCGCCCGGCAAGAAACTACTTCTAAAAACAGAAAATAAGAACAAACAAAATTAAATAAATTTCGGGAAAAGTGTGTGTAGAGCTCCCACTTCCTGACCTTTCCCGTTCCAGTCTCTGCTGGCTTATTTCACCAGCCTTCATCTGTGGGCTAAGGTCCCTCCGCTCTCTGAGGGGCACAGCCACATTTGGCTCTCCTTTGACTTTTCTTTTGAACGAGGGTATTACAATTCCCTCAGTTCCCTGTCTGTTTTTGTTGTGAGGCTAACATTTTATTTTATTTGGGGTTTTTTGTTTTTGTTTTTGTTTTGTTTGTTTTATGAGACAGGGTTTCTCTGTATTATGTTGGAGCCTGTCCTGGAACTCACTCGGTAGACCAGGCTGGTCTTGAACTCACAGAGATCTGCTTGCCTCTGCCTCCCAAATGCTAGGATTAAAGGTGTGTGCCACCAACGCCCGGCTACATTTTATTTTATTTAAAATCTTCCAGGATTTTTTTTTAGTTTAAAATCTGTTTATTTTGCCAGCCGGTAGTGGCGCACGCCTTTGATCCCAGCACTCGGGAGGCAGAGGCAGTCGGATCTCTGTGAATTCAAGACCAGCCTGGTCTACAAGAGCAAGTTCCAGGACAGGCTCCAAAGCCACAGAGAAACCCTGTCTCAAAAACAAAACAAAA